TATGAGATTCAATCTAATCTTATGGCAAATCTAACAATAATGATATTTCATTCTGCATCAAAAACACAGTATTTGCTACTAATACTTTTTAAGAAAAATAGCTGAACCTAATGTTTTAAATAGACACTCATCAATACCACTGTACTATTGTTTCTCTGAATGCAACTATCTCAATGTTTAAAAACATTGTAAAATAAATATTTATCTCCAAAAATAGTAAGCATTTGAAGACTATTTGAACAAACTTAAAGCTTATTTGAAAATATTGTGTAATTACAAGTTTAATGTTTATAATACATAGTGTAGTGCATTACCATATCCTGATACCATGAATTATTAAAATTTTCCAATTTAACACTAAGATTAACTAATTGTAAGTACTATTTACTATTTTATTTTTCTTTTCACTCCAATTCAATTGTTTTTAGTTTTTAGTTTTATTTTTAGTTTAAAATAAATTTTTGAAAGAAATCCATATTTTATTGATGTTATGCCCGATTACTAGACTTTGTTAATATACATATACATATACATATATTATATTATACATACATATTAGGTTGTCAAATATCTCCCTTCCGCTTTTTTGCTCTTGGTTTATAATACAAAAAGGCGGAAGGGAGATATTTTACAACCTAATATATATTGAAGTGGTCCTTAATATGGACATTTTGAATTTCCGTGCTTCCAGTGGCTCAATGGATTCCAATTTGATAAAAAAAAATCGCTAAAAGTTTTAGCTCTTAATATTAATTTTTAGAGAATTTTTTTTATAAATTTGGAAGCATTTGCATCAAAGAGCAAGGAAATTCAAAAATGTCCATATTAAGGACCACCCACCGCACTCCAACATGTTTTAACATGGTGTATAATCTAATAATTAAAATTTTTCAGGTTATAATATCGTTATTACTACAGGAGCCTACACGTTCCAGTTTGGATAAAAAGCAGTCGACAAATGATGCTTGGAATGGAAGAACATGCTCCAAAGGTAGGATTTTTTTTTATTTTCAACACCTAGTATATATAGCAAAAATATAATGGTCAAACAATCAATAAAATTAATTGGGTAAGGCACTTTACAGTGCAAATGTATGGATTTTCATGTCTTAGGGATAATACCTAGTATATAAGCTTATGACGGAAATATAATATTGACCATGCAATATACAAAATGCATACAAAATAGGCGTATACAAAAATAAATACGCCAGGCACTCTCGAGTGCACCTGTAGGGATTTTCAGGTCTTGGGGATAATACTTAGTATTTAACTGAAATAAATATTGGCCATGCAATATACAATATGCAATATGCAATATACAACATACATACGAAACAAACATTTCCAAAAAAATTAAGTAAGGCACTCTAGACACCTGTACACCTGTAGGGATTTTCAAGTTTTGGGGATAATAGCTAATATTTAACTGAAATATAACAAAGGCCATGCAATATACAATATGCAATAAATATACAACATACATTCGAAACAAACATTTCCAAAAAAACTAAGTAAGGCACTCTAGAGTGCACCTGTAGGGATTTTCAGGTTTTGGGGATAATAGCTAGTATATAACTGAAATCTTACAATGGCCATGCAATATGCAATATGCAATATACAACATACATACGAAACAAACATTTCCAAAAAAATTAAGTAAGGCACTCTAGAGTGCACCTGTAGGGATTTTCAGGTTTTGGGGATAATAGCTAGTATATAACTGAAATCTTACAATGGCCATGCAATATGCAATATGCAATATACAATATACATACGAAACAAACATTTCCAAAAATAATTAAGTAAGGTACTCTAGAGTGCACCTGTAGGGATTTTCAGGTCTTAGTAGTGTTCTTTCCTACATGCGGTAAATAACTTTATATTTGTATTTATTTTTATCTTTGTATTTAATTTCAATTTCAAAAGTAATATTCATTAACTTCTCATTCAATTTCAAAATTTAATTTCCTTCTATAAACAGTATTGCCAAGCAAGTTTTCAATTCTTCAATGTTGTCCCTTAACATTCCGCATTCTTTGTTGCGTTGAATAATTATTCCGCAATCTAAGTTGTGTGAATGGGGAAGGTGAGATCGGGACCCTGGCGCTAAGTTTTGCTTACCTAATCTCGAACCCTCCCTGGATCATATGGGACCCTGGCGCTAAGTTTTGCTTACCTAATCCTGATCCCTACTGCGAAGGGTTGAAAGCAAGTTTGGCAATTCTGTCCTTTTCAATCATGAGTTTCAATATCCTACTTATTTTTTTTATTTATAACGGTTTATTTCGGTGAATGTACACATTTCTCAGTAAATGTCACACTTACCATTTTGTTTTGGTAAATACTTTTACATTCTTTTAAATTTTAAATATAAATTTACCTATAAATATAAATAATAAATAATGAACGAAGAGTAAAAAATTTCAATATTCAATTATCGATTTTCAATTTTCAATTTTCATTTTCAATTTTCAATATTCAGCAGTTCTTAACTGTCTATTCTTAGTTGGCAGTTCTCTTAACTGTCTATTCTTAGTTGGCAGTTCTCTTAACTGTCTATTCTTAGTTGGCAGTTCTCTTAACTGTCTATTCTTAGTTGTAAGTTCTTTGTCGGCAGTTCTTAGCTGTCTATTCTTAGTTGTAAGTTCTTAGTCGGCAGTTCTTAGCTGTCTATTCTTAGTTGTAAGTTATTAGTCGGCAGTTCTTAGCTGTCTTTTCTTAGTCGGCAGTTCTTAGCTGTCAGTTTGTAGTTGTAAGTTCTTAGTTTTAAGTTCTTAGTTTTAAGTTCTTAGTTTTAAGTTCTTAGTGATAAGTCAATAGTTAATAGTCATTCATTATAGTTTTTTTTAGTTGCAATATCTGTTAGAACTGCTGAATAAAATAAATAGTTATGATCAATAGTTCAACTCACATTTGTCAAATGAGCCGGTAAATGTAAACATTTACCGAGAAGTGTGTACATTCACCAAAATATGCACATTTATCGTAACATACATACCAAACAAACATATTCAAAACTAATTATGTAAATTTAAATGTTCAGTTATTAGCCGCTGTGAACACTACACTATTTTTTGAGCACTTTCGAGTGCACCTGTAGGGATTTTCAGGTCTTGGGGATAATAGCTAGTATATAACTGAAATCTAACAATGGCCATGCAATATGCAATATATAATATACATACGAAACAAACATTTCCAAAAAACTTAAGTAAGGCACGCTAGAGTGCACCTGTAGGAATTTTCAGGTCTTGGGGATAATAGCTAGTATATAACTGAAATCTAACAACGGCCATGCAATATGCAATATGCAATATATAATTACATACGAAACAAACATTTCCAAAAAAATTAAGTAAGGCACGCTAGAGTGCACCTGTAGGATTTTTTCAGGTCTTGGGGATAATAGCTAGTATTTAACTGAAATATAACAATGGCCATGCAATATGCAATATACAACATACATATGAACAAACATTTCCAAAAAATAGCTAGTATATAACTTAAATATAACAATGGCCATGCAATATGCAATATACAACATACATAATACAAAACAAATATTTCCAAAAAAATTAAGTAAGGCACTCTAGAGTGCACCTGTAGGGATTTTCAGGTCTAGTATATAAGTATAGAATTGAAATATACCAATAATGGCTATGAAATATACAAAATGGCACTGTCGAGTGCACCTGTAGGATTTTCAGGTCTTAGTGTATAAGTATAGAATTGAAATATAAAATAATGAATATGTAAATATACCAAATGCGTGCAAATAAGCGTATAATTAGTAAGGCACCCCTGAGCGCAAATGTACGGATATTCAGGTCTTAGACTTAACGCCTAGTGTATAAGTATATAACTGAAAATATATTAACAATGAACATACTATAACCGTACAAAATAAGGGTATATATGCGTACAAAATAAGAATATAATTAAGTAAGGCAACCCCGAGTTCAAATGCATGAATATTCAGGTCTTAGGGATAACATTTAGTATTTAATTTACCGAACTGAAATATGATAATAATGAACATGCAATATACAAAATACGTACAAAATATAACGTATAATTAAGAAAAGCCCCCCCTGAGTGCAAATGTAAGGATATTCAAGTCTTAGGAAAACATCTAGTGTATAAGTATTGAACGGAATTATTATGATAAAGAAATGTACAAATGCATACCAAACAGCGTATACGAAATAATTAAGTAAGTACAATGCATTGATATTTAGGTCTTAAAGATAACACCTAGTATATAAGTATAGAACGAAAATATAATAATAATAAATATGCAATATTCAATATAACTATATAAACTAACAAAATAAGCATACATAAAAATAATAAAGTGAGGCACTCTCGAGTGAAAATGTACGGATATTCAGGTCTTAGGCTTAATACCTAGTGTATAAGTATATAACTAAAATATAATGGCAATGAACATACAATATACGTACAAAATAAGGGTATATATGCGTACAAAATAAGGATATAATTAAGTAAGGCTCCCCCGAGTTCAAATGTACAGATATTCAGGTCTTAGGGATAACACCTAGCATTTAAGTTTACTGAACTGAAATATGATAATAATGAACATGCAATATACAAAATGCGTACAAAATATAAGCGTATAATTAAGTAAAGCACCCCTGAGTGCAAAAGTAAGGATATTCAGGTCTTAATTTATAAGTATATAACTGAAATATAATAATGGCCACGCAATATACAAAATAAATATATAAATACATATATGTATTTTCAATAAACTCTAACTTTGAATATTATTTTCAGGTCATATTATCGTCCTATTACTACAAGCCTGAATGCTACAGCTTGGATAAAAAAGCAGTCTAAGAATTCTCCTTATAATACAAAAGATAAGTGAATGAAGATGCTGCAAAGGTAAGATTTTTTATTGTATCTTATCTATCTATTATTATAAGTCAGAAATATGATAATGACCATGCGATATAGAAATAACTATATACAAA